GGTGATGATGGTGGTGATGATGAGAACGATGGTGATGGTGATGCTGATGATGGTGATGATTATGATGATGATGATGGTGGTGGCGATGATGATGGTGATGATGATGATGATGGTGATGATGGTGATGGTGATGATCATGGTGATGATGGTGGTGATGATGATGATGGTGATGGTGATGGTGATGGTGATGGTGATGATGATGGTGATGATGGTGATGGTGATGGTCATGATGGCTGCCTTGATTTGCAGTCGCCGTCTTGGCCTTGTGATCAAATGACAAGTTGACATATCGTAAGATGTGACCCTGCTGCTTGTACTTTGTAGTAGCCAAGACCATGAAGACGTCCACAGCTTGCGTGTGTCACCTCTGCGAATACTATGAGTCTGATGCTTATGACAACAGTCTTCACTGCGAGAATCGGCCATCGAGAAGGCACCAGACATGCTTGCAGGGACCGCTGCGGCTTTGACAAGACGCAGACGCTATGCACTGACAACCGAAATTTGCAACTGCGTTACAAATTACATTTGCCGCACGAGCTCGAGTAGAAGTGGACACGCCAAATGCGGGATGCTGCAAAGCTGAAAACCAAAAGCACACTCACATGCGGAGCTGGCCTCTGGGAGCACTTCTTGCAGCAGCTCCTGCAGCCTGAGTAGAAAAGCATTCCCGAGCGTTTGGTACCGAAAAGGGGGCTAGTATCCCTGTGATTTCAGAGTGCCCACCGCCAAGGCGACTCCGGATACCTTTCTCGGCGGCCTGCGCAGTCAGGAAGAACTCCAAGGAGAAGCTTGGGCTGGTGTCCGCGACCATCGTCAGGAGACTCGGTGTCTCTTCAGGTCCCTCTGTCGGCCTTCTGAGAAAGCTCTTCCAGCTGATGTTTCGGAAAGCCTCCGGGAAATTCCAGAAATCTTCTGGGCGCTGCCGGAAAACTTTCGGGGAGCGTTCCGAAAGGCTTCGGCGCGGGGGGGGGGGGGTTCGGAAAACTTCCGGGAATAACTTCCGGACAACTTCCGAGCGGGTTCCGGAAACCTTTCGGCGGCTTTCACAACAAAATTCGATGGGCTTCGGAGCTTGCCGGGAGGAGCCAGGCAGACAGGTGTCGTCCGTGCCAGACAGCGGCCTGCTGTCGAACCACGCCTTGTCGCGGTCTCCACGGCGTGCAGCGAGGCTTGTTCCGGAGAACTTCGGCGCCCGCTTCGCATCAGAGAGCGGAAAGCATGGCCTTGTAGTAGTCTGTGCTGGTACGGAGTGCCTCCTGGTTCACCTTCTGCATCTTCTTCACCTCTGCTCCAACAGTGCTCCGAGTTATGCGGGCATCTGGCTTGAAAGCACCACAGTAAGGGCTCGGCTACGTCCGCGGCATCCTCATACGTGAAGTGCAGCGCCTGCTCCATCAGGTTCACAATCCCCGTGAAGTACATGAGATGCGGCATCTTCATGTAGTCCGTGTAGATCCACCTCATTGTCGAAGAAGGTGGAAAAAAAAACAACAGACCGCCAGCAAACCAGGTCGAAAGTCCCACCCCCCCTATGTGCCCTATGTGCCCTCATGTTGCAGACTCTGGCATGGTTACTCTGATTCCAGGTGCATCGCAGCAGCCACTTCCGGATCTGCTGGCTCATCGGTAGCTCAGGGATCCCAGCTTGAAGCCTTAGGGTTTAGGGTTTAGGGCTTAGGGCTTAGGGTTTATGGCTTAGGGTTCAGGGTTTAGGGTTTAGGGCATAGGGTTTAGGGTTTAGGGCTTAGGGTTTAGGGCTTAGGGTTTAGGGTTTAGGGTTTAGGGCTGCAAGATGAGCCCAGAACCTAAAAGCTTCTGAGTCTAAAGCTGCCCAACTGTGGGTTTCGAGCACCGAGATCAGGTCAGCGCTTGGTGCAAGTCAAAACTGGTAGCCCTCCAGTCTTCCAAAGCCCCTGGCAAGCACGATGTGTCAGGCTATGTGCGCGCAAGACTGCTCCGTAATAATTACACCGTACACTCGGCCCACAGTTAACCTGCCACTCTACCACCCTGAACCCTAAGCCCAGAAGCCCAGTATAGAACCCTAAAATTCCTTTTAAAGGGGACCCTTTATAGAACCGTAGACTAGAGTACCCTTTAAAGGGGACCCTATTATAGAACCCTAGAGTAACCTTTAAAGGCCACCCTAGAATAGAACCTAGAGTACCCTCTAAAGGGGACCTTTTTCTAGAACCCTAAAGTACCCTTTAAAGGGGACCCTGTTCTAGAACCCTAGAGTAACCTTTAAAGAACCCTAGAGTACCCTTTAAAGGGGACACTATTATAGAATAGAACCCTAGAGTACCCTTTAAAGGGGACCCTATTCTAGGGACCCTACCATGGAACCCTAGAGTTACCCTTTGAAGGGACGCTACTATGGAACCCTAGAGTCTACAGTACCCTTTTAAGGGGACTCTGAGAGTCTTCCTGAACCCCATGGAAAGCCGAGGATCCATGGGACCCGCTCACCGGTGCGAAGCGAAGGAGGCCTCCTGGAAGGAAACCCCGAAGCCCAGAGGGCTTAAGGGTAGGGTTTAGGGCTTGGGGTTTTGGGCTTAAGGTTTAGGGTTTAGGGTTTAGGGCTCAGGGTTTAGGGGATAAGGTTTAGGGTTTAGGGGATAAGGTTTAGGGTTTAGGGTTCAGGCCTTAGGGTTTAGGGTTGAGGGCACACCTCCAACCACAAACCCCAAAACACCCCAAGACCAAAGCCCTTCACCCTCACGATTCATCCATAAACCCTGTAAGGGGTTTAGGGTTTAGGGGTTTAGGGTTTAGGGGTTTAGGGTTTAGGGTTTAGGGGTTTAGGGTTTAGAGCTTAGGGTTTAGGGTTTTGGCCCAAAACCTTGCAAAAGATCCAAAACCCTCTCCCGCGAGAGTCCTGACCAAGTTGTTTTCCGGGTCGGGGCCTCGGATATCAAGGGTTTAGCGTTTCGGCTCTAGGGCTTCGGGTTTATAGGGCTTAGGGTTTAAGGTTTAAGGGTTCAGGGCTTAAGGTTTAGGGTTTAAGGGTTCAGGGCTTAAGGTTTAGGGTTGAAGGGTTTAGGGCTTAGGGTTTAGGGCTTAGGGTCTAGGGCTCAGGTTGTGTTTTCAAGCTTCAGGGTTTAGGGTTTCGGGATATCATCAGACCCGAGAGGTGCAGGGCTCCAATTTTTTGCTCCTCAATCGTATCAGAGTCTACAGTATATATTAGAATATGTTGTTATTCTACAATATTATACACTACTCTATTACTTATTAGTTATATTTTTACATGTATCTGATGATTATAATGTTATGGGGGGGGGCAAGGGATTTCTTACCTGAGGCGCCGGCAGTCGCGCGGCAGGGGATGAAAGTGGCAGTTGGCTGAAGATTGCCACTCGTACCTCTGGCACAGCTTGGTACAGGGGGTTTAAGGTTTAGGACCGCCTGCAGATGCCGCGTGGACATCAGGCTAGGGTCTTGTCAGGAACGGACTTGAAGATAGCCCTTCCGCTGTGATGCTTTGATTGGGACGCGTGTAAGGGTCGTGCTTAGCCTGATGAGCTCCCGATCAACAGCGCTTGGTTTGCTTTCTTTTATCTGCTCCTTCTCCGTTTCAACTAAGGTCGATGTCTTTGACCCTTCGATGAGAAACAATCTCCTATTGGCGATCCTCGCGCCTCAGGCAGCAATAAAAGCCACACTTCCATAACTGCAGAGAAGCCTATAGGCACCAAAAACCTGAGCATATTCCTGATTTGTTGGTTTAATCCAACGACAACCTCGGAAAAAACAGTTTCTATCGAACGATGCTTGCTCGGCACCTAAAAGATCCGCATGAGAGGATCCAGGTGGGAAGCTGATTCGATTTTGCCCCGCAGTAGCTGAGAAAGGTCGCGTGAGATATCCTCTGTGTCACCACCAGAATAATCATGAGCACTACAGTTTGATGATATAAATCCTGCATTACCCATAATAAGGAATCTACCGTAATTCCCGTGGTTTAGGGTCCTTAAGGTCATGCAGGATTTCTATCATCAACCGTATCACGTTTGCCTGCACAAAACCGTGCGCCGGCAGAGTAAATCCTACACCCTGAACCTTAGACTGCAAAGCCGAAGCCCTAAACCAAAACCTCAAAGCCTAGGCTCTGTAAGCGCTTCTAGAATTCAAGGGGCTTTAGGATTAGTGGCATGAGTATTACTAGTGGTAGTACCAAACCCAAAAAACGTTTCACCAGATGGAAAAACGCGGCCTCAACTCGGTGAAGCGGTTGATTTGCTGGAGCTCTCCCCTGTAGAAATAGCCTCAAAGCCGAGTAGGGTTTGGGGTGTGCGGTTTCGGGTTTAGCGTTTAGGGTTTAGGGTTTAGGGAGTAGGGTTTAGGGCTTAGGGCCTTATCAGCCCTAGGGGATACTTAGGGTGTAGAGGTGTGGCGGTTTGGGGTTCAGGGCGTTGCAGTCGGCTTAGGACAACGCAGTCTCTTACCGACGACTTTGTTCACAGCAACACTTGAAGTCGTGAAACTGATGGTGACGGCATACAAACATGCTTAAGCAGAGAGATAAGCCGAGCGCAAGTAGCGACACAAGAGGCAATCGCAAGAAGAGCACGAACAGTACTCATTGCAACTATGGTGGCTATAGTAATGGTCCACACCTACGTTCGCACAGCAAGCTCTGGTAGCGCTGCCCGCTTGAAGCTCAGTGGATGACGAAACAAAACTTTTGCGAACAGGTCCAAAGAAGAATTTGAGTAACTTGAGATTCAGGGTGGCTCTGGGTGATCCTTAGGTCTTTAGGCCCTAAACCGTGAATACACCCCAAAGCCTGTAAAGGCCCTAAACCATCAAAATATACATACTCCCGCAGCAGTCGGGCCACGCCAAACGAGAGCATGCATCCACTTGGCATCAGGCACCTGGGGGTCTGAGATGGAGCTTCTTCTGGGAGGAGCTGCCGGGCTTTGTAAGAGCGGAAACCCTTCCAAATCCCTGTATGGGGCCCTGACAAAGATGGGCACAGCCAGCCGGTAGATCTCGATGAATGTGGTGATGCAGAAGTTCCATGGAATCATTGCTACGGCCTGCTGCAACATCAGTGCCTCTCGCTAGTGCATGTGCTGGTTGCTGGGTGGTGCCACGAGCGGCGGGGGTAGGAGTGGGGACACGGAAGCGGTTGGCTGCCGCTCCTGTCGGGCTCCTCTGCGTCCTGGCTACTCCTACTCAGACTCGTCCTCTTCCTCCTCGTGCGGCCACTGCTTCTACTTTTACACTTCCTGCGTTTTTGACCAATGGTGACGTGGCGCTAGTGGCAACGGCCGTAATTATGAGGCTGAGGCTGCTCTTCATGCGAAAGAAAGGCAGGCCTTGAAGTTGAAGAGCTCGAAGATCTTGAACTCCTTCTGGCTGTAAAGGAAGTACTGCCTAGGGTAATTCGCATTCCGCAGGGCATCTTCCAGCACGAACTTGACCAGGTGGTACTCCTGTGGCGCCAAGATGAACTCGAACCTTGCACAAGGAGCCCAAAATTATATTATATACTATATACTATATATTATATATTATGAAATATATATTATATATATGATATATAAATATCAAATATATAATATATGATATATAATATACAATATATATATATATTATATGATATATAATACATCATATACAATATATCATGTACAATATATAATATATAATATATAATATATAATACATAATATATAATATATAATATATAGTATATAGTATATATAATATATAATATATAATAAATAATATATAATATATAATATACAATATATAATATATAAATATATAATATATAAATATATGATATATAATATAAATATATAAATATATATA